TGGGGGACCCCCAGCAGCCTGGAGATGAGGCGGGGACGGGACCCCCTGACCCTGACAGGGGTGTCCTGGGGTGACTTCATGATGCTCGTACCCCCATCGGTCCGTTTAGCCCAGAAATGAGTTCTGCACCTTTAAGGCTGGTGCTGAGAGCGAAGAGGAGGAGGAAGAAGCTTCAGTTTGTTTTCACACACTGCACTCACTCCTCCACATTCTGGCTCCTGGGCTGTTGTGATGCCTTAAGGAGCTGGAACAGAGGCCAGACGGAGCTAAGAGGAATAAAGTGGATTTTTACTGAAATGCCTTCAAAGGCCACACCCTGGCAGTACCGGATCCACAGCTGTGCCTCTGCCTGAATGGCTCCAACCTGGGAGCAAAAGAGGGCTTGGTCATGAGATCTCACACTTTAACAAGTTTTAATCCATTTGTATATAGAAGTTAACTGCTCAATTAATAGTTTCAAATTATGAAGTTACATCTTCCTCGCTTGCTTGCCTGCTCTCTTCTTTCCACGTTGTTTATGCTTTGGGCCTGAAGTTTGAAGAGATTGTCCTTGAGTCTCCAGCTAGAAGAGGATTGTTTTTTCTTCACCACCCTGTGAAAAGATCCCAGTAACACTTAACATAAAGCTAAAAGCTGTACATCAAAACAGAACGGAAAAATTTAAAAGCTAAGGTATCTGTTGTCTGTGGACAGACAGACAGCAGGACAGAGCTCTCCTTTGCTTTTAGTTAGTTTTAGCTCCTTGAGGCAGAGAAGTTCCCCCAACTGTGGTTTTTCTTTTTCTTTGGAGCTGTTTAAATCTGCTCTGCACTGAACACCCAGAACACCACAGGCAGCTCCCACCTGTGGCCCACCTGGCCGATCCTGAGCCGGGGCAGTTCCAGTGCCGGAGGGACTCATAAGAGACTTAAAGAGACTGAAAGAGACTGAGTGAGCCGAGCTACAGCCCACAGAGTGACTTTCTGAGTTTGTCATGTATTTTGCAGTGGCAAGAGGTTTTATTTTTTATTATTGTTCATTTTTTGTGCTGGTGAATGCTTTGCCTGTTAAATAAACAGGTTTTTTCCCCTTTTCACCATGGAAATATTTTCTCAATCTAGTTGGGGGAGGGGCCGCTTGAATCTGCTTTCTAGAGGAAACTCTTTTAGAGATTTTCTCCCAAATTTGCCCTAATCCAGGACAGGGTGGTGGGAAGAGGGGAGAGCCCCAAGTGACTGGACTGGGGTGAGGCTGGAGAGGGGGACCCCAAAACACCCAGCATCCCTAAGAAGGACCCTGGAGAGGGGAGATCCCCAGTGCCCATGGGATCTCCAGCAGCCCTGAGATGGGGGACCACCAGAAGCCCAGAGACTGGAAATGGGAAAATCCTGGTGGCTTTTTTTGATTCACTCTTGATTTTTGAAGGTTTTTATGGACACCAGATGACATCTAGTGATGGACTTGGGTGGGAGGAATCCCCAGCCCAAGGCATTCACACCTTGTTTTTCCCCAAACCAGGATTTCCCATTTGCAAACCTTGGTAAGATGGAGGAGCAAAAGGCTGCGAGGAAGAGGAAGGAGCCCTGGGTCACCCAGGCAGGTGAGGAGGAAGTCAGTGCCCGTTTCCCCCTCTCTCCTGCTCCATCTCCCAGCCCAGCCTGGCCCCTGGCTGCAGGACAACCCCGGTGCCAATGCCGTCCTGCTGGGGATTCACTGGGGGGATCTCCTTGCCCTTCCCTCTGGCACCGAGGCAAATCCCATCCTCTCCTTGTCCTTCCTTTCCCAGACAAGGAGCTGAGGATGGAGACCAGGGAGGACAAATCCCTGCAGTAGAACCTCGTGGAAGAGGCTGTTTTGAGCAGTGCCACGGTGCAGAATTACAATGGGGAAGAAAAGTTCCAGAGATCCCACAAGAGGAGGGGCTCCAAATCCAGCCTAGGGTGCTCCGAGGAGGAAAGATCCACCCTGTGCCAGGAAGGTGGACAGAGCTTCAGTCAGAGCTCAGAACTGGTGGCCCATGAGCAGCTTCATGACAAAGAGAGGCCCTATGAGTGCTTGGACTGTGGGAAGAGCTTCAGGCAGAGATTCAACCTGATCTGCCACCAGAGGATCCACACTGGGGAACGGCCCTATGAGTGCTTGGAATGTGGGATGAGCTTCAGCCACCGGTCCGACCTGGTTGTCCACCAGAGGTTCCACACCCGGGAGAGGCCCTACGAGTGTCCCAGGTGTCAGAAGTGGTTTCACACCAGCACTCACTTCCTTGTACATGAGCGGATTCACACTGAGGAGAGGCCCTTCTGCTGCCCCAACTGCAGGAAGGGCTTCGAGCACAACTCCAACCTCGTCACCCACCGGCACATCCACACTGGGGAGAGGCCCTATGAGTGTCCCCAGTGTGGGAAGAGCTTCTCAGACCGGTCATTCTTTAACTGACACCAACAGAGTCACTGGTAAGGGCAGCTCTGTGAGAGCCCTGCCTGCATGTAGAGCTTCATGCACTGCTCCAGCTCCATCCCCATCAGAGGACCCATGTTGGTCAGAGCCCTGGTGACCCATATTCCCTTTGGTACACAGTGGGAAGTGTCACCCTGGTTTTTTAAGATTTTCTAAGCCTTCTGATGTTGACATTCTTGTAGTGAATTTTCTCACACACTTTCTGTAAATAACTCATTGTTTTTCATTCCTTTATGGAGGAGGAGAGAGTTGATGGACTGTTGGTTTGACCAGTGTCATTGCAGAGGTGTCAATGTCACCTTCCAATCCACTGTCACTTTTGTAAAACTATAAATATTGGAGTCAGAGAATAAAACTTCCCTTTTTTTCCCTTCACCTTGAGTGGTGGTGTGCTTGTGTTCTCTCGTGTCCTTCAGCGACATCTGGTGACCCCCGAAGTGTATTGCAGCCAAGGCTGAGACACGGACAGCGGATTGCGGTGCGATTTTCTCCCCCTCCTTTTGGTGCTTTGCCTGCTCTTCTTGGGGCAATGGAAACCTCTGTGGTTTTCCAGGATGATTCCCTCATTTTGGATCTCTGGAGGGGGGTCCTGGAGTGTAAACAGGTGTCTGTTTCCTGGGATGATTTGGAGAGATTGGTTCTGTGGGCCCGAGAGCGAGGTTTTTTTTCGGACCCTGCGAAGGCGTTCGATAAGCAGGAGTGGTCTCTCCTGGGGGTCCACCTCATGGAGGCCCTCTTTGATGATTGCAGTGTGGACGTGGGACCGCTG